TAGGCTGGTTTACAGTCCCCTCCCACTGTGTAATAAGCTGTATTCTTGCAATGTACCTGCTCTATTGCTTGTAAAGACTCTGATAGTTGAGCAGGGAAAGAGTGTTTGAACATGGTCATGAGTATTACACAGTCATGTAACACTACCCCACGGGGCCGTGCTCCAGCCGCTAAGGTTGTGTATCGTCATGCACTGTTTGCACCTGCAACGTTTGCTCCAGCCTCTCGCAACCCCCGAAGGACTGGCAGCTCCAGAACAGCACTTACTCTTTCATTCTTGGCTTTCCTTTCCTCTCTCAATTGTCACGCACTGGCACAGGGCAGAGATGTGAGCACAGATTTCTGCACCCTGCAGACAGCAGCCATCCATTTGGAAATGCAGGTCCCATGGCTCAACGTGCTCCACACCTGCAGGTATTGGATTTACAGGGCAGAACCTAAGACACTTGTGAAGCTGTTCATTCAGTGTTACTGTCACTTTTCATTTTTGAATGCAGCGAGATCCAAAACCACTTCAGCAGACCCTTCTCTCAACAACCAACTTCATGAATCACTTCCAAGCCTGCCAAATGTCAGCAGTGTGAATGGGAGTTATAACACTTGCGGCTGCTCTTGCAGAGGAGCTTTCCCACACACAAACTTTGGCCTCCATACAAGGTTACGGGTGATTTTTAGGCAGTTGTGATATACAGGATGTCAGAATGAATGCTGTAACGGTTTGCTGTGGGCTTGAAGTGCATAAACTCCACACAGGAGAGGAGTGCAAATGTTATTACTCTAGCAAGGGTCACAGTTTACCAAGGATGGGGGATTTGTCTTGCCCATGATCAGGAAACCTCCATTAGAAGAAAACGAGGAGTGTGTCTTGGTTAGCTTGAGTTGCCTGTAGGCTTGAAATGATGCTGAGCTGCAGCTAAAGGCAGGTACCTCTCCTGAGTGACTAGCACTTGATGTGGCTTAGCCGTGCTGTTTCACAGACATGGCTCTGGGCAATTGCCCTGGTTTTTTGTCCCTAAAACTGCCTCGGGAGGCTTTCTGCAGTTAGCAATCTGTTTTAATCCCTGGGGAGATTATTTACTGTCATACTTCAGCTCTTACAGCTGAGCCTGTGCCTGGCCTTCATTTCAGATCTGCCCCAGTGCTGGCTGTCACAGCTGCCTTGTTGGAGGTGAATTTTCAGCTGTGCCAGAAGAGGCTCGCGAGGAAGTTTGTGTTATACTTAGTCATGCTGCTTGGTTCCAGCAATGTTATTTATCCCGCAAGACCACAAATGCAAAATCACTTACAAATATATAAAAGCCCCCAAACCACTGAGCACCAGGCAGAAACACTCTTTTACAAGCCACCAAGGCTCCAAGGGTCTCCCTGGCATTGAAAGCCCACTGTTTGTTGGCCTTCTGTAACCAAACACACAAACTATGCCTCTCAGGTGGCAGGGAGAATTTGTTTCCAAACCTAACTGCTGTTGCCAAGAGAATGTTAGAGCAATAGAAAGTGAGTATTTGTTTAAAGAGGGATTACACTCTCCAGCTCAGAAATGTCTAAGGTTTTTCAAACTGATTGCAGCTCTCTTTCTTTCTCTGGAGGGGACAAGTGTGTTGTCTGGCTGTAAACTGAAGTGGAAGGAAATTGGAGTGAAGGTTTTTAATGATATTTGAAAGATATCTTTAGAAAGCCCTCAGATGGGCAGCAAATATGTCACTGTGAATGTTCCCCACAGGGAAGTCCTACCACACACCAGCTATTTCTGGGATAGGTGGTGCTTCTAACAACAGAAATCGGTGTATGTGAAGGGTATGAATCTGTGCTCCAAATTTCTGTTAACTAATATTTTATGCCTATTATTTCTCTAGTACAATTGATTGCACACTGTGAGTGTCCTTGGCCCAATGGTGAAACTGTGCTCCCAGTTCCCAGCACAGCAAAGCAATGAGGGAGAAGCAGGAAATGTATGATCATATAGGACTAGGATGAGCAGTCACTGTGTGATGACGGCAGAAATGTTTAAATGAGCGGAAGTAGTCTAATGGGAAGAGTTTGGAATGGCTGTTTTAATGTGTAAGAAGTGTAAGGGTGGAAAACACCTTGTATAAGAACACAAGGAGGAGGGGAATAATCTCTCCTGTGTGATGATGTGAGAGGACAGTCTTGTTCGATGCCACAGACACCCCTGTGTGTGAGGGAGGTCCCATGAGGTGAAGCTAGCCCTCTGCTAAAGTAAAAGCATTTGAAAGAGAAACCTGCTGGTCAGTCTTGTTTAACCTCCAGAAGTGGCACAAAGAAATAGTAGATTGGTCCCCTTCGTGTGGGGTGACAGTTGTTTGTGGTCCCCTTTATATGGGGCGACAGCTTTCTGTGCTGGGGGAACACAACCCTGGACATCTTTAACATCCCCGGGTGTGACAGCAGCATGGGTAACATGTTTATCGAAGGATCTGTCTTTTGCATGTTGTACACCCGTGTATCTATTTCAGGGTAGAACAGCTTCATTTAAACTGCCTGGAAAGATTAAATTATATTATTCTCTTAACATGACAAGAGGGTGACAGACTCCGGTTCCAGCACACAATGGCACACAGCGAAGCGGAACTCGGAGCATGTACCTGCTCCCTCCCTGGGAGGAGCGTATTGATTGAAGAGCCGTGTAGTGCATTAGAAGGACGAGAAAGTGGGGATTAATTCCGACAATCTGATGTAAAACATGAGCATCCCCTTCTCGAGCTGAATTGCAAAGGGGGGCTCTGGGCCCGTCAGGTGTCACAGCGCAGGCAGAGCAGGGGACACCATGGTACCAAGGGGGACAGAAGAGCAGCAAAGGAACAGCTTTAGGTTGTTTTATCTTTGTTTTGGTCTCAGCTTCTGACCTCGCAACAAATGAATGCAACTTTGCATGGACAGAATAAAATAATTCATCTCATTTTCCAGATGGGAGCAGGGATTGTCCCTTGTTTGGGAACTAGCGAAGGGAATTAACAGAATTTCACTTTATGGATCTTCTCCCTGATCTTTGGCAGATCTTCATAGGTAAACTTTGATTTCAGTGGAAGTCTGGCACAGATCGTCTCTGGGCCTCCTTTTCTTGTTAGCAAAACATCATTTCCATACCTTACAGGAGCGTTATGATGATTCATGCATTAAAGATTGTGAGATGCTCAGATTTTGGAGGTTATTCACACAGGTGACATAGACAAAGACGGACTGCTTTGCAGTGCATTAGATGAGCCATGCATGTCTGATTAAAAGACAGATGGACATTCAGAGGTTGGTAGCAAACATCAAATAGAATAGAATTGTTCAGGTTGGAAATGACCTTTAAGATCATTGAGTCCAAATGTTAACCCAGCACTGCCAAGTCCCACCTAAACCATGTCTCTGTGTACCACATCTACACATCTTTTAAATACCTCCAGGGATGGTGACTCCACCATTTCCCTGGACAACCTGATCCAGTGCTTGACAGCCCTTGCAGCTTCACTTCAGCTAGGCCATTCATCCTGCCACCTTTTCGGGGAGAGAAGCCCAAAGTCCTACGTGACCATTCTCAGGTGTTTCCTAACACATCAATAGATCTTTGTCTTTGCTGCCACTTCTACCAAAGCTCTGATAGAAATACGTATTTGGCTTGCAAATCCATTCTCCTTGGTTTTGTCAGGAAGAGCTGCCTTTTAAACCCTTCAAGTGTCTCCAGTGCAAGTTTTCACAAGTGCTGCAGAAATATTTATTGTACTAGGATGAAACCATGGAGCTGTGCTGATGGCTTAAGCTCCTGAAGGTATCCATGGAGTGGGAAAATCAGGCGCGAAGTTAGCTCTGCCAGCACATCCTACAGATTTTCATGGCTAATAGCAGAGGTCCCATAGACATTCTTATATCCCCTGTTGCTCACTGCTTCCAGGTCCTTATGGTACAGGAATGCCAAAAGCTAACTCATACACAGTGACTTTCATGCTAGGATAGGCTCTTGTTCAGCCCTGAGGGGAGCCAGTTGCTCCGGGGTGCTCTCTCCATCAGGTGTTTGATTTGCTCGTAGGAGGAGGGGGCAATTTGTCAGGGGAAGATGGCATTGCTGCCTGTTTTACACCCAGTTGTAAACAGCTTCTTGGCAACACCAGACCTCTGTGTGCTTTCTCCCAGATGAATGCATCAGTCTCACTGTTCTGCACAGTAATTGTAAACCTCCAGAGCTTGGAGCATGAAGCATTTAAGAATAATGAGACCTCTTTTTGTATTTCCTTACATGAGGTCACATCATGACATAAGGGGAAATCTGCTTCAAAATGGACATCACAAGGCTGTTCACCGACTCCTGGCTTGACTAAGTAGCCACCATTGGTATGTGTGGAAACCAGTTTGTTTCAGAGGGTTGAGTTCCTAAATACTCAAATCATACACATAACTGCTTACAGAAGGCATTAGTTATGCTTAGTTCCCTAACAAGATTTATGTGTGCGCTGTGCTCAAAGCAGTGAGACCATACCGTGCAACAAATGCTGTTCTCTGACAATGCGACTCATGCTCTAGGTTTGATACTGCTAATTTATCACAAAGGCCTGACAAGTTTAACAGTACATCAGGTAGATTTACTCTTACTCTGAGCCTAATGTTCCTCGTGCTCTTATATTCTGGAAATGAGCCTTTGGTGAGGTCCAGAGGCTGGCTGAGAGGTGTAATGGGACTCACTCATGGCTATTGTCAAATCTAAAATGATTCCTTTGAATATTGTCTGCAGCCTTTAAGATGCAGACTGCAAGACTTTAATGCTGCCAAAGGGTTTTTCTTGGTAGAGAAATATCTTCCTCTTGATATTCAGCAGTTTCTTTATGGGTTGCTTGGTCTCTAGACATGAGAAAAACCTGGCAATTTTGATCATTTGAAGAGAATGAGTAATGCATAGTGCTTAGTACAGTGTGTTGCTCTTCAAATCACTGATTATGCTTTATTTTCTATTATGTTGAATGGAGTGATTCTATTATGGCCTATCATTTTCTCCTTTTACTGCAGTTTATTTCAAGGATTCCTGCTGGAGTCCCATCTACAGACCATTTCTAGATTACAATTGACTATCTAAGACTGTTTCAGGAATATTTAATGGGCCAACTCAAATTAGCCAATCTGAAGGAGTGAATTTTGGCCTTGAGAGCTCTCTGAACACATGCCATTCTGCAGAGCAAAGGGAAGAGGCTGCCTGCTGTCAGAATTTCAGTAGGTGTCAGTGTGGATTTTAAGCTGGATGCTCAGCCTGAGTATTTAGGTTCTTTGTGAATTTACTACAGTCCGCAGTTTTCAGCCCTTGGGTCAGTTTAACCTCCTCTTTTCACACTGATCAAAGATTGCTGGTGATAGATGGTCACTAACTTTGATAACAGAGCCAGGATTAAGAGGGTTCTTTTGCTGCTGTAGTTATAAGTCTCCACAAAACCATGACCTGAATATCCTGCCTGTGTAACACAGCCACAGATCTGGCTGAGGCACAGGGTGAGGTACTTCACATCCATCCTGGTGTGACCTTCAGCATCCTTATCTGGCAGGAATTGCTAAGCCTGCATGGGAAGATCAAAAGAGTTCCTATCATTCAGCCCATCAACATTTGGGCCTAACTCCAGTTGCTGTCAGGAGTACATCAAAGGTAAGCACAGGAATAAATAGGCAAATTATGGCCATGAAGAAAGGTGGGCTGCCTAATCTTCAGGGGACAATATTCAGTGACAACATTCACAGAGAACACTGGGATGGGTGAGAGCAAACACTGAGAAAGGTGGAAGGCAGCAAGCAGTCAGTTCATGGCAGTTTATTCCAGATTTTGAGCAGTTTTTCAGCACATTTTACATTTGATTGGCTTATCTGACTCCAATCACTATGTTTTCAAAACTTACATGATACATACTGTCAGGAAATTCACTGCTTAATGATGGGACTGAACTCCCAAGCATGCTCTTCAAGCTACAGAATTAGCTCCTTTATATTCTTCCTCTTTAGCTTGAGGAAATTATCAAAAGGAAAAGAGCAAAATTATAGGCTTGAGGCATCTCTTTTCCCCAAAACCTCTTCTTTCTCTAGTTATTAAATCTTGCAAAGGTTTTAATTTCATAAACTGAGGTGGATACAGAGGTACTGATCCAGTAAATTGTCTTTCAGGGATCATTATTAAAATATCAGGGAATAATGTAATTTTCATTCTTTATGGGTTTATTTTTGATTCTGACCGAGACATAACTGTGTGTAAGTCACAGCTGAAAAGTGCACTGAGCATTCAGGGAATGGGGAGGGGGGAAACGTTAAAGTGGACCCAAGCCTTTCCCACCTATTTTCTAGGTGGTCTTCATTTGAGTGGCATTTATCAAGTCCAGAGAGCACCAGGAAGACTAATATCCATTACAGAGCAATGCAGATGTCCTCAAGAAATTAGGACAGCATCTTCAGAGAGGAAGACATATCCTGGCCAGGGCTCTCTATATTAAGTTTCTTACCTCTGCAGAAGAGTGTGGATTAGGTTGGGGGACCAGCAAGGTCTGCATGAACTTCTTAATCTACACCTTACAGTTGTCCACCATGAAAGTGTGTCTAGCCAGCAGCCTTGGGATGTGCTTCCCTCTCCTTTCTGCTTGCCAGAGCTGTTGTGCGTTTGTTAACTGATACCTTTTGCTCCAGAGATGGTGGATTTCAGGATTGGTTTTGACACTGCATCCCCTCTTTGAAGAAGCGCATAATTAGCTATTTCAGTATGGGAAATGTTTGCAGTATGTGAAGCCAGGAGCTGCGTTTGTTTGCTTGCTTAAATGAAGATGGAGTTAAGTGCATGCTTAACTGATTTCCTGGTGGAGGATCCAAGTTAGAACTTTGTGATGATAATTAGCAAAAAGAAAAGGAAAAGGTTAACCCATATTTGACAGCAGCCTAGAGAAGAATGTGAGTGCCCCTCTTAGTATTAAAATATTCCAGTGCATTTCCCTGGTCATGCTTTCATTGGGAAACAGCACTTCACAGAGAGGCCTCAATGCATGTACCTGTAAAATCTCTTGTGTGTTTGATGTTGGCACTTCTCTGAAGATGTATTTTTCCAACACAAGCCTGAGTCAGTAGCAGACAGCTTAGAGGAAAGGCTGGGCTCCAGGAACAAATACAGCTTTTGTCTCTTCTCTTTGAGGGCTTTGGATCACGAAAAGAAATGTAACCTGGCTGTTCGGTGTGTTTCTGTTCTGTGTTCAAAAGTCTGATGTGGAGGAGACCAAGAGCTGGTAATCGGTATTGAGTTAATTCCTGCCTTCATCGTTGCTGCCTTGCAAACTTCAAAGCAGAAAAGCTACTCTCTTTACACCTACAAGCATAATTTCCAGAGCTGAAGCAGGGTAATTTTCACATGCAAATTCAAGAGGCAAGCCTGCCTTATCTGAGCAGGTGGACATGCTGTTTAATGGGACAGCAGCACCTCTCCTTTTCTTCCCAGAAGGGGAGCAAGGCAGCAGAAATAAAAGGGTTTCTTTTGCTGTTGTTCTAGGGGAAAATAAGTTTACCTTTACAAAAGGGGAAAATGCCACCTTGTGCTTTGTTTTTATGCTTTGAATTGTGTTGAATCCAGGAAAAAAAAAAAAAAGTAGAATTCAGTTTACCATCTAGAGCTTTATATTACATTTTTCATCAGCTGTTGGAAGCATAATGCAGAAATGAAAGACTTTGGCAAAGGAACTGGTCAGCTTCACAATCCCCCTTGCTCACAGGCATTTGAAATACACAGGTTTGTGGACATTAATCCTAACATTATTAATGTAGTGGGAAAACAGGGAGCAGATTTATAGTATTTAAGTTCTCACTGTTGTTTTTGTCGATATTCTCTTTGGGACAGTAATTTCATTTGTTATTTCAAAAGCTGCCTTCTTGGTCTTGAGTATTGGTGAGTTTCTTCACTGACTGTAACAGTGGAATTGTTGGGAAGGAAAGTTATCCAGAGCCAAGAAGGGTGAGTGCCAGGGGAATAGGCAGGATAATAACTGCTGGGATGATTTAGGCAGGTCACTTTGCATGCTAGGTACTCCTGCTAAGTCATCTCAGAAGTGACCTGAGGCTTTGAGTTTCTCAGTTGCTCAGCTCCTGAAAACAGCTGTAGCTTAGGTTTCTCTTTTTGGCAGTTCCACAAAGCAGGCTGTGGTTTTTCAGTTGCAGAATTGTGGCTCTTCTGCTTTCTTTGCTTGCTGACCGTATCAGATTCTGCCTTGAGCTGGGTTGTCTGTTGGTGGCACACTGGTGAAGCAGGCACAGCTAGCAGGTTTGCAAGCATCAGTCTGCATGGAGAGTGCCAGGTATAAATGTATAAATAACTAAAGCTTATATATACTTGGAAAATTGCATTTTCACAGCAGAACCTCTCTGCATTAGTTTCCTATGTGGGTTGCCAGGTTTGTGAGCAGCTTTTTAACATGCTCGGGAAAAAGTCGCATCCTGACGCAGAGTGGTTTTGGGTGAGGGCAGTACTTTTCACTGGGTTGGTGGTTACTGGAGCTTGCTCTCCTCAAACAGCATGCAGGGAGTGTGCTGCTGTTCCCTGATCCCAGCATACAGGCCAGTGTGGGCTGGCTGTCACCTCCCTGCACTCCATCACATCTCTCCCAGCTGTCTGGGACACAAGCAACTGATGACCTCTGCAGAAACTGAGGACTTAATTGTTAATTGCTATGGACTCTTAAGTCTGATTAAAATCAGCCTTTATTAAATTAAATAAGCTCCATCTGTTAATAATGTATGTGCCCTTCCACTGGAGACAGAGAAAGCAAGTCAAAGGGAGCATCTTTCAGATTATATTCCTGTGTTTATTAAGGTACAGGATAGACAAGTGGCTCAGTCATTGAAGTCTAAGCCTGATCACCCCAAGTCTTCTGTCTCTAAGGAATCAAACCTGAACCCCAGCTTCAGCGGCTGCCTGAAATAGGAACAGGAATAAAATTCCAGATTCTATGGAAGGAATCTCAGTGCTTTGGGCCTCGCTCTAAAGTGTTGACAATAAAAGTGAGCCAGGAACTGGCCTGAAGTGATACTATGGGTGAAATAAGTCTTGTGGTTCCATTCTCATTCTTTTAAAGAACGAATTATGTTGGGATGGCATTTCCCCGGGAGTTTTCAGGTACCACTGTGGGAATCTTAGTGTGAAGACAGATGTAATTTGGCTGGGCACTTTGCTCCTCTGGTTTCATTCTGCTTTTTCATGCCCCTCAGATCCCAAAGTCAGTGAAGTACAGAGGACTTGCTGTTTGTGGTTTGTGTTTGCATGTATGCATCTGCCTTCCCGCTTGATGAAGCTTTTAATTTGCCCTGTGATATGCAAGAAAAATGATGCAGAACTGAAATCTAAGTGTGGAGGAAGTTTTAGTAAAAGAAATCCTAAGGAGGGGAGGTTGGTAGAATTGCAGTAGAGCTGATAAGATAATGCTGCCTGTGCTCTAAATCCCTTCCTGAAGCAGTCTTGTGGGGTGTTTGGATTCTGGGTCTGAAAGGCTTGTTGGACATCTTTTACCAATCAGCCCAGATGATTTGCAGATATGAATGACCCCTGGGCAGCTTTCTGATAGACCTGACATGCTAAAGAACCTCTGGGTGGATAATAGGGAGTGGTGGGGAGGAAGAGGCATCTCTTTGTCAGTGATGCTGTCACGTGTGTTCTGTCACCTTGCTTTTTGTGGCAGTGGGCAAGCAACAGGGAAACTGTGTAGTGCCTGCATGAGGAAAGTGATGCAAAATCCGTAAAAGTGGTCTTCAGTGGACCTGTGTGGAGGAAGAACCCTGAGGAACCAAAAGGCATCTCCCACAGAAGAAACTGAGCAGATGCTATGTGCTTAGGTACAAAGTGAGAGGGAAGTGCATCTTACCTGAGGTCAGAAAGGGATATTCCCTGCAGTCATGCACAACCCCTATCCTACCACAGTGTTCAGGGAGCTGTTTTTTTTCTCTTTAAATTGCAGATGGTGTTTATGCTTTTGTTTTTCATGGGGATCAACTTGACTCTGTCCACATGCTCCAAATCCAGGTCACCACAAAGGCTGGCGAATCACAGAAAATCCATTTAACAAAATGCCCGTTTGAAAAATGCCATTGGAAGCAGTGATGAAACTCCCACTGATTTTGTGTGGGCTGTTTTCTTCCAAAGTTGCCAGACAATGTGGTCGAGTCTCTGATTTGTTGTTTGAAAGCTGAGGCTCTATAAGGTCAATGGTCCTTCTCATATTTAGCTATGCTGAAACTATCACAAGGCCATCCCTTTGATGAAGTATATTATGCTGCAAAAATGAACTAAATGAATAATCTTTTGAGGAGATTTATTTTAGGATTGAGAAGGAAATGCACAAGGTTTATTGCGTATCTTGTTTCAGCAAGAGGAGAGCAGCTTTTCTTATGGTGACCTAAAGAGCGTAGAAAAAGCAAAGATAAAAGGATGTTAATTAAGAGAAAGCTGAACTTAGACTGAACTTCTCACGAGATACCGGAATGTTGTCCCAAAGGATGTGGTCAGTGCCTCACTGTCTGAGTCACTTGTAGTAATGCTAGACTGAACTTCTGTGCATTGAAAGCTGTACAGTGGTGAATGGGAATATTGCCCTTCCTCCAGGGGACAGATTCTGTAACCTCATTCATTGGTCTTTTCCTGCTCATTTCCATGATCAGGTCTGGCCTGTTTCAACAATTCCCTTATCAGAGAACAGCCCTGTCAGGTGTTCCAGATCAGTAAGATTTGGAGAGATATGACTGTACTGTTAACTTATGCCTGGTTTTATATCAGACATTTCTACCATCTACATGGAAAAAGTTCTCAGGCTGAAGTCAGACTTTTACAGCCAAGCAAACTTGTTTGGCAGTGAATTTGGATGAAAACACATTGCTTTTAGCAGAGATTAACAATACTGAAGACCTTTGGTCTTGGAAGATGCACACCTTATAAATCAAGGCTCATAATAATGTTTAAAAGCTTGGACAGAGCCCTTACAGGCTGATCAGAGAAGAAACCACAAGTGCAGTAACCAACAAAGAGAGTGTCAGAAAAACCAATGTGTTCATTCAGTATAGAAACTGCAAACTACAGGAAAACAAGGGAGCAATCTTTCCCCATCACAGTTTAGAAACAACCCTTACATAGGCTCATTCTCATAGTAGGAAACTGCTGCTGTGTGTGCACCGAGTAAAGACGACTTCCTTCGGCTATATGGGCTTGGCAAGGTTTAACATAGGAAATAGGTGAGAAATTTAGGCAAGAAAGGAAATCCCGTCAGAATCAAAGGAGAACACTGTGGGATGATCATTGTCAAATCAAGTGAGCCTGAAATCTCTCAACCAGCAGCAGAAATCATGTGAAGTTACTTTGAAAAGACTTCAACCCAACCCACCATTACTGGGACAATCCTAATCAGTCCTAATGACTCATGTGGTTATTGTGTATACACCTCCTAATAATCATCTGTTGTATTGGGTAGCAGTGGAACTTCATCACTGTCGCAGGGCCTTTGAAATGAAGGGATTTATAGCTTATTCGTGAGTATGATCTGACTCCACTGGGTGCTCCAAAAATCCCAACCAATGAACAAATACTTCTTCCAGTTGCCCTCTTGGTTGCCATGCCTGTGTTCTAGCTTAGCAGATTCAGAGCTTCAGTGGTGTGTAAAATGTCCTGCCTGGGACATCCCCCTCAATTTATAGAATCATAGAATGGTTAGGATTGGAAAGGACCTTAAGATCATCAAGTTCCAACCCCCCTGCCATGAGCAGGGACACCTCACACTAAGCCATCTCACCCAAGGCTTTGTCCAAAATGGTCTTGAACACTGCCAGGGATGGAGCATTCACAACCTCCCTGGGCAACCCATTCCAGTGCCTCACCACCCTAACAGGAAAGAATTTCCTCCTTGTATCCAATCTAAATTTCCCGTTTAGGTTTTAACCCGTTACCCCTTGTCCTGTCACTACAGTCCCTAATGAAGAGTCCCTCTCCAGCATCCCTATAGGCCCCCTTCAGATACTGGAAGGCTGCTATGAGGTCTCCACGCAGCCTTCTCTTCTCCAGGCTGAACAGCCCCAACTTTCTCAGCCTGTCTTCATACAGGAGGTGCTTCAGTCCCCTGATCATCCTCGTGGCCCTTCTCTGGACTTGTTCCAACAGTTCCATGTCCTTTTTATGTTGAGGACATCAGAACTGCACACAATACTCCGGGTAAGGTCTCGCGAGAGCAGAGTAGAGGGGCAGGATCACCTCCTTCGACCTGCTGGTCATGTTCCTTTTGATGCAGCCCAAGATACAGTTGGCTTTCTGGGCTGCAAGCGCACACTGTTCATTTTCTCATCAACCAGCACCCCCAAGTCCTTCTCTGCAGGGCAGCTCTGAATCCCTTCTCTGGCTCTTAATTCCTCTTCAGCCTCACAAGGTTTTGCTGTAAGAGATGGTTCATCAATTGCCCATGCCTGAGACAGAGGATTCGGATGTTGGCAGACCAGTGCTAGGGAGGAAAGTGATGTTTGGGGAGAAAAAGGGAAACCAATCCCAGATTTCTTTGGGCGAGTAGCCAGGCTTGACCAGCAGCCGGATAGATGAGCAAACTGTATTTTTGAGGAGATTCAAGAAAGGGAATTTATCCCAGGAGGGCTTTTGGGTATCTGCTTGCAACTACATTTGTTTTAGAGAATTGAACTGAATTTACTCTTTGGATTTTCATTTCCATGCCCTGAGT